GAAAAACAGAGATAGGCTATTAAATATGTTCAAAGAAGCGAAAGGTTGGAGATTTTATTAAAAGGTCACCACGGTTCCTTGAGGCTTGCTTGCCCAAGGATAGCTCTTTTCTCGCTCATGTTTTGTCTAATTTTACAACCGCTACTAACGTTACAATGTACATATGAAGAAGCGAAGCGTTGAGCAAAGTTCAACGGATATGTTTATCTATTTCCATGGTAACGAGTCTGCATGACATTCAAGCTATTGTTTATCCTTTCACGTGGGCTGTCAATTCGAAGCGATGGTTAACGCAAGGCTGGTCACTATGGCACAATTATCCACAGACAAGGAGGGCTATTCTCTGCTTATTCACAAAATGATTTGGAGAATTAGTGATCGGACGCAGAGTAAAATTAATAACCTTATGCGAAACGTGACGAGAATGGTTAATAGGATACATTGTTCTAGCTAAACATCAGAATAAAGGCTCACGCGTGAAAAAAGTGTTATTTTTGTTTCGTATAGTTGTAAGTTTTGGAGTGGGTTTACAATAATTATTAATTCACCGCGTGGGCAAACTGACTTATATATAACACAACAAATATAAACAAATAAAAAAAAAAAAAATTAAAAAAGAACACTGGTCACTGAACACATTTTTCTCAATGAAGACGGCATATGGTGCACACGTGTTATATAAATGTGAATGTTATAGAACCGGCAAAACCATTATTAAAGATTAGCACAAAATGCCAAATTAGAGTGGTAGAAAATCGTCAATTTGCATTGAAATCGCTACTCTCGTAGGATATATATATTTTCGTTACACAGGCGTAAAACGTCATTTAAACCTGGAAAACACATATGGCACATGTGGTATGTGTTGGTATGTGATTAGACGATGTGACACCGTGTCGCCATTCCCAACTTGAAAAGTTTATACTACAACACTCTCAAAAGAGATGGAAAAGAGTTCCGACTAGTGGAAAGTACACACATACATGAGATATTAAACTAGACGAAGGCAGTTTCCCTAACCAATTACAACTAATAGTATGTATGAGTTTCCATTGGAAAATCGAAGTCTTCTAGCGTGGTCGAGAAGAAGTTCGTATTGCCACTAGGTGGCGCTTTCTTTTCAACAATGTTTTCGGAGATAATGAGTAACATTCTTCACACACATTTCCAACGTTTTTTTGTTAAAAAGAACACAATTTTTTCACATTTAGTTTCTCTGATTTGTTCGCTTTCATAATTTGGTACAATGAGAAAATAACTTATACTTCTATACATAACAATTCGACTGGAAAAAAATCTGAGATTGAAGATACGTTACTGACCATGTTTCTTTATGTCTTTATGTTTTTTATAATTCATTCAGAATTCTGTGAAACTTCTATATTGAATGGTATATGAGCATGCGCAAAAGCAATCCAGGCAATATTTGTCATAGTAGTTTCATTATGTGCTTCAGTTCGCAATAGAACTTTAATTTACTTTTAATGTGTAATTCATGTTAATTGCATCTTCTTCTGAATGTTAGTCCGCCCCCTAGAGTCAACAGCTATGCAAACTAATACTTTTCGAATTCAACTTGGTCGGGGACAGATATCAAGCTGATCCGGCAGTCTTGAATTTGTGTACTAGTATTTTGAACTCGTGATTAGTCTTTTTGAAGTTCAGATATATCTGCATTAACCTAATGATAGCAAACCATCCAAATGAAGTGAGTGAGTATCATAAATCCTGGAATTAACATTTAAAGTAAATAACGCATTGCAGCCACAATAAATAGTGTGACACTTATGAACAGTTTATGAGACTACTTTTGATACTTTTTTATGCAAATTGTGTTCATACAAATTCGCCATAAGATAAAATCATTTACATGAAAATAAAACGAACTGCAAACTTAACGCCGATATGAAACGTTTATGCATGCTGCCCTCAACGGCGCTTTCGGATCGTAATCTAGGGACATTTTACAATTCACTAACTGGACGAAGATGGAAGTCTGGCATTGGTATACGAACGTCTTCACTATAGTCTCAATTCTTTGAATACATTAGACTTCATTTATTCAAGAATGTGTTGGGTGTAGCAGAGAGGTGGCATCTTTAATTATTTACACACTGTGTCAGAAATAATGTTGCATTGCAAGTTCTACCCTGGGTGGGCTATTACTAGTTGTGACCATAGCCCTGTTGTCCTATCTCTCCCACCAAGGAAAAAACAGAGTAAAAACCGTGTAATTTTATATTGTGGGAAAATTCCAAAACTACCGTTCATCACATAAAAACAAAAGCAAGTGAACTTTTAATTATTTGAGTTAATTGAACCTGAACTGTGAGCTGATGAGTGGCTGGTTAAACTGACTAACTTACTACTGCCTCCCGCTTTTCCCTAACTGATTTTCTGACCATCTCACCAATTCTCTCACCGTAACATTGAAGACAGGATTTATTCTTTAAACTATCGAACCACGAGAATAGATATACCCATATTTGTGTGTATACCCATAGTGCATTTCGTCGAGCTGCGAAAAGAGGTATTGTACACGTTAATAGCCTCCTGTGAAACAACAGTTTCATTGATTCTACAATTTTTTGCAGTTTATTTTGTGTCATCATTATTGACTTTTACTAGCACAGAAGTGAAATGCACATTGAGGGTACTACCATGCATGTATATATCGATGCAAGTTCAAGTTCGGTCCCCCAGGATCTGAGATATTGTGTTAAGAGAAATGTCACAAGTTACTGATAGTGTCAAAGTGTTCTTACTGGGCACATGGCGTCATCTGTCGCATGTCGTTAGAAGCATTATAATTTTGGTTTGTAAAAAAACAGGGACATTACTACATATTCACGTAGAGGGCGACAAACATGGAACGACCGGCGGTGTGGAGTCTGTTGCCCATTTACTAGAAATCTTCCTCGGGGGAGGGGTCACTCTATATGCCGTTACTACCCCATGTGCATTCCAAATTTAGCGGGAAAATGAGGTTTTTTCACCTTCTAAAGCGGGCCCACGCAGGAGGCAAATACGCTCCGTTAAAATGCTAAATTTACATTCCGTCCACAATAGGGGGTATGGTTTGCCAATGTGCTGCTAGCCCTAGGGGGCCTATAGCAAGAATGCACATGGTGTAAGGTTTTAATATAGAGTGAACCCCCCCCCCTCCCGGGTAATCTTCAAAACAAAAAAAACTTGCAAGAAACTGGACCAGAGAAGGACCGGATGCTTGGGGGGGGGGGGGGCTAGGGTTATTTTCGTTCAACGTAATTGCAATATTTTTTTGTTCGTACAACGTAAATAGAAAAAATAAATTCCGTAATTCTGTAATCACCGGCTAGACGTACAACGCAATCAATAAAATATTTTTTTCGTACAATGTAAAAATGTGTCATTTTTCTCGGTACGTACAAGAATTTACATCCTAATAAAAAAATCGTAAAAAATAATCCAGGGAAATTACATTTTAGAAACTGTAAAACGACT